TACCCAGACCTACCGAACAGAAACTCTAGGGGTGGGGCTCAGCAATCCGTGCCTCTAACAGGCAGGCGCTTCAGAGGACTGACACACACTGACACTCGAGAGACACTTGGCCAGAGGAAAAACAGTCAGTCACATTCCCCCACACGGTAATAACAGAGAAGGGGAGATAAGGACCCCAGTTTCTGATGTTCGGGGGTTCAAGACCTCTAGTAAGAATGCGAACTTTTCCTGACTGCAAGAACCTATCTGTTTAGCTGGTATTCCAATAATAAAGGTGAACTACCACTTACACTAAGACAAAGGCCTGAGGTTGAGACCAGCAGATGGCGTAGCAGTCATATCGCTGGACTCCCACATAGCTGGCTGTGGTTCAAATCCCAGACTCAGCAGCTTGAAACTCACGCCAGGTATGTATGCGTGTGTGCCCATGATCACAAGAAGGGAATGGAGGAGAAAAAAGGACTATGGTGTGGCCAGTCCCTCAGGGGGTGATTTCTCACTTTCCCTGTGTCTGTCTGTCTCTCAATCTTCAGTGAGTGCAGGCACCCTAAGGCAAAAACCTTAAAAAATTAAGTAAATAAGGACAAAGGGCTGAAGTCACTTACCCGACCGTCACACGTGATCAGCGGGTTGCAGTAAACTCTAGCGCCATAGTTATTCTGGATGGATGTGATGATCCTGGGCCCCAGAATTTTCAGGAAAGAGTAGTGGCTCCAGTTTTTCTTCAGGTTCTTTGAATGCCATGTAACAGGGTCGTCTACTGTAAACACAAAGTCCAGCATGGCATTCTGTGAGGTGAGGAAAAGAGAAGGGCTTCAGGATTAACTCTTAGAAAGGAAGCAGAGGGGACCAGCAGGTGATGTGGTGGTTAAGGCGCTGGACACTCCCACATGCCTGTCCATGGTTCAAATCCCGGACCTGGTGACTTGCTTTCTCACTTTCTTTCTCTCTCTCTGTATTTCTCTATGGTGAAATTAAATGAATGAATAAATAAAACATTAAATAAATAATTCTTTTTTTTAAAAAAAAAAAAAAAAGAAGCAGAGAGTGACAAGGTCAGAATACTAGGCCACTACGACCAGCAGTCAGAAGACCTAGGGGTGTCATCAGAAACTTACGCAACTCTCTGGGGCTTCTCTACACTTCATCGATATGTATAATAACAGCAAACACTCAACATTGTCTGTGTTCTCAGGACTCAACACTTTGGACATAATATGCAAGACCTCCAACAGTTTGTAAAAGGAAAAATGGAATTAAATAGTTTATTTTGGTGCCAAAAAAAATACCCTTCAAATCGATGTATAGGTTTTCCATACTATGCATTTTCCACAAACTAACTTTTAAAAGATTTACTTATTATTATAATTTTAAATTTTGCTATAGGGCACGTGTGTGAGAGAGAGAGAAGAAAGCAAGCTGCCACGTCCAGGACTTTCTCACCTGCTGGCCCTCCACAAACTTGTAAAGATTCCTCATATAATATAGATCATTGTATTCTCAAAACAATCCTGCAACAGAAATACAATCCCAATTTTATAAGGAAAGGAAACCAAGGCATGGGGGAAGCTCTTTGCCCAAGGACATGCAGCCAGCTAGTGGCAGGCCTAAGAAGTGCAGGTCCCAGCTCTGTGTGCCGACCACTGTACTAACCTGCCTTTCAGCTAACCGTGCTCCACTTCCCTTCCAGATCTAATTAACACTATGTGGAAAAACTCTAAAGCCTTCCGTGAAAGTGAGTTACTCTCACTCATTCACCAATCACTCATTAATTCTCCACAACGAGCCCTGGCAGGTCGTAGGTAGAAGAGCTCAGAGTTCACTGCAGGAGAGAACAGACACATTAGCACTAAATTGACCTGATAGAGGAAT